AATACACTGCGCATGCCTCCAGGCACGTCGCGGAACTGGTGCAAATTTCTCCAGGCCAACTGGGGAATGGCCTGAACAGCATCCACCCAGAGGGTGTTCTCCAGCGTGATCATCATGTTCCACCTGCACAGTTCATGCCTCACAAAGTGAACATTTCGGACCACCGCGCACGCACCACCGCACACGCAGCGCCTAAACACCATACCGACGACAGGCGCAAGCAGCTTGGCACAGGGAAGTGACATCGTTGCGAAGATAGGAGAAGATGAGAAGCAGCACTTCGTCTGGCACCAGAGCCTCCAGATCTGGTCCACGTTGTTGGGACTTCTTGTTTCTCTTGCCTCCCTTCTTCTTGTCGTTCACCACCTCCGGCTGGGGCAACACCACTGGCCATCGCAGAAGGTAAGCACAGTGGTCAACAACTGCACACACGCACACCGCACACACAACCCGCAACCATTCGCACCACCCCACACCACAACACCACAACACTGGTAGGGAATGTACGGTATTTGGCATCGTCGAAAAACTGGGATTGGCCATCGCGCCCGCCAAACGTGAACAGAGTCAGCTCGTCAATCCACGTCGCCGCATGGAAGACCATGCCGCGCGGTGCTGTCCCGCGCACATCCCACTTCATCCATTTGCCGGTTGCTGTTGGTAATGGGTAAGTTAGGTTAGGTCAAGCAAAGCTTGTTCACACTTGTGCAGCGCGGTGCGGGCGTGGTTGAGCGCAAAAGTATACCGAAGTGGAACTGCCAGATGTCGGAAAAGGACTGTCGCTTGTTGAAGCCGCCCATGACGACCATGTGCTCGCCTTGGGCATCGCACAGTGCCACATGGCCGTACCGCGCCTCTGGTCTTGGTCCCTGCGACGCAGCCTTGCTGCTGCTGTCCTTCTGTTTTGCTGCGTCGCCGGTCGCTTGCTGGGTGCCGCCCAGCTGCTCCCACTTGCATTTTTCTGATTGCGCCCAACAACAAATCAGCACGCAAACTGGCAGCGGATGATACAAGTGAAAGGGAGAGAGGGACACGCAACTGAAGTCAAAGCTCCACAGGTCGGCCATGACGGCATTCTTGTCGCCCTGGCCCCCAAACACGAACATGCGGTCGCGCGTCCTGCTGTACACTGCTGAGTGTTGGAACCGCGGTGCGGGTGCCGGCTTGTTCTTCTTGAACTCGGATCTCTTCCACTCCTTGCTCACTGTACATGCACACAGCGACACGAGTGTGAGTGTCGGCATGCCTTTCGCATTAACGTGCTCACACCCAAGGGGGAGAGATGTCGCGTACCAAAGTGGAAGGACCACAGATCGGAGCAGGTCCACGAATCGCTGTCGAATCCGCCGAACACCCACATCTCGTCATCGCGCACCACCGCGCTGTGGCCGTAGCGCTTCACCGGCAGCCGGTTGGCTTGATCCGCCGGCTTCACCTCCTCCCACGTATTCGCCTCTGAGAAGGTCGTGGTCGTGGTCGTTATTATGGGTCGTCAGTTGGGTTCAGTTCCCAGAGGTGAAAAAGAGCCCTGGTGTTGGGCCAGCAAAGGACGAACCGGGGTCGAACTGCCAGAGGTCGTTGAGGTAGCCGTTGCTCTTGCCGCCGAAGACGAACATCTTGCCGGCCGGCGAGGGCTTTTCTCCTCCCTCCTCCGCTTCCTCCTCCTTGTTGTGGTTATGCTCAGCCTCTTCGCACTTCTGCTTGCCCTTCTTGTCTTTCTTGTCCTTCTTCTCCTTCTTGTCGTTGTGGTTCGGTTCGCCGTTTGACGAGGAAGCGGCCGCCGGGTTGGGCCACACGACGGCCGTGTGGAAGTGGCGCTTGATGGGCATCGTCGCCGCGGCGCCGCCTTGCTGCGCGGGCGGCGCGTCCTCGTCAGGGCCGCCCTCCTGCAGCACGCGCCAGCGCTTGTCGCGCCACGAGAGCGCAAAGACCTCGTTGGAGAACTCGACTTGGTTGGACCCGCCGAAGAGTATCACCGAAGCCGCTGTGCCGGAGCCCTTAGAAGCGGGTGCTCGGATGGTGACGAGGGAGTGGCCGTAGCGAGCCGGCGGCGCGTCGCCGCCAGTGGCCAGTTGGTTCCAATTGGTGCGCCCCTCCCACTCCACCCCTGGTGGTGCCGCGTTTATCACAAATATAAAATCCATAAATGGACTGAAGGAGAAACGTATTATTTCAAAAAAGTTATAGAGAGAGCAGGTACCTCGCTTGCTTTTCGTCGCGTTCTTCTTGCCAAAATGCAGCATCGCGTTGTGAGTGAGGGTGCGAAAGAAACACAGAGACGGCAGCAGGCAAGACTGTGAAATTGTGTCGACCACGTGGTTCGCCGCACTGCTGTTCGGTTGGTGCTGAAGCGCGTTTCACTTCGGCCACCCTTTCAATAAATAAATGGTGTTTTCCCTTCTTTTTCTTTACGTTCGTTCTGCACGACAACTCGACCCCGGTGGTCACTCTCTCTACATTTACAACGAGCCCAGGGCAGCGTGCCAAGCCCGACCAACACGTGTTGGACGAGCACCACAACCCGAGTGGGCTGGCCGTGGACGTCCTTCATCTGGTGAAGTGTGTTCTCCCAAGATGGCCAAAAGGAAAACGTTGGCGCTGCCTCAGCCTCAACTTTTGAATATCTCCACCACCCGAGCAATCGGCCGCCTGCATATGGGACAGTCCTTCATCTGCCGCCCACACTCTGCAGGTGTGTCGTTGGGTAAACACGTGTTAGCATAAGCTAACTCAGATAACCCTAAGAGCAACAAGACCAAGCAAGCGTACCGACACACGAGCACAAATGGCCACACTCGCTGCAGCAGCAAAAGATGCAGCAGGGTCAGTTTCCCCCACAAAGAACAACACACACAAATGCATGAGTGGATGAGAGCGGTAGCGTACAGGAACACGCAGTTGATCTCGCGATCATAGCATATCTTGCACACGTCTGGCTCGGTCTCTTCTTGAGCCGGCTTTTGTGCATCATACGAGGGTTTCTGGTCTTCTTGGCTTCTGTCATGCTCTGGTTTGGGTCGATAGAGAGGCTTTCCCTTCCAACCTGCAGAAGTAAGAGGGATTAGTCCTTTGTCCTTGGCTTCGATCCTCCAGTTTGCCAGTTGAGTGGACATGAACTATAGTTATGGGACGGTGAGTGATCACACACCTTGTGAGCTCATACAGAGCAACACTCGGTCAATTAGATCTGACTTTTCGATGCACCCACTGTCTCCGCACTGCATACGTGAGCACAATTTTTTAGAGGGTTCAGGTTCGGCCCACAGAGCGAGATGTCTATATCTATTCTACGCACCTTCTGGTCGTGAAGAATGGTCTTGAGTTGTCGGATAGGGAGCGAGCGCACATACTCAGCCTCCTCGTTTGTCAACTCTCGTACGCGCGTGAAATCGTAGCCACCACCGCCCACAGATGTGGTTCGTGCCTCGGTCGAAGACCTCGTTGCTTGCGCCGCACTGCTGCTTGTTGAGGGCCTCGCAGAGCCAGCATTTGTGGGGTACTGTTGTGAAGGAGCTGCGTGTGCACTGTTGCTGCGGTCCCGCGCGTGGCTCCTCGTCGGACCAGCATTGCCCGGATAGGCATTCGATGGTTGAGATTGCGCGTGCGGGGTCTGCGGGTGCGAGTTGTGCTGGTCCGATGGGAATAGCCCCGAGAAGAGATCCGAGAGGACATCTTCCGGTGTGCGGGACGATGAAGTGGATGATGGGCGAAATGATGATGACGATGAAGATGACGATGACGAGGAGGACGAGGACGAGGATGAAGGTGCTGCCCCTCGCGGAGGCGTATCGGTGGATGAAGAAGTCGAAGGCCTGGTGCCGGCAGTGGCTTTGACCCTCTCGATGAGGTCGCTCTTCTGCATCCCGTAGAAGGTGTCCGTCCCGTGCATGTTGAGGTAGGCCCTCAGCGTCGGTGTGGACAATGCCTCAACCTCCCGCCACCACTCGTTGCGCACTTTGGGTTGCGGGCCATATAAAAAAGGGAAATAGACCAAGAAATTAAACGGGCGAAATAAATCCGGTGTTGTCCGCTCAGTACAAAGGCTCCGCCCAAGAGGAAGAGGAAGATGCTGCGCAGGGTGGGGTGTTGCTGCCCCTTTTTGGGCCACGCAGAGATTTCTCTTCATGGAACTAAAATTGAGCCAAGAAGAGACTCATACAATTCGTACAATTACACGTCGAAGGGCGACGCCCCGACCAGCTGCTTGAAGAAGCCCACCACGTCCGTGATGGAGGGGCGCTTGTGCGCCTTGGGGTGCCAGCAGCGGGTCATCATCTTCTTGAAGTCCGCTGGGCAGTTGTCAGGGACATCCGGTCGGTTGTTGTCGAGCACGTGCAGGGACACAGCCATGAAGTTGAGGCCCTCGTAGGGTACTCGCCGCGTCAGCACCTCCCACATGATGATACCCAAGCTGTCATATATATGAGAGCGCAGGCAAGAGGAGTGAGTGAGAAACTGGTGTGTGCGTTTTGCCCACTGGTGATTTGGGGGGGGGAGGTTTACCTGTAGATGTCGGCCTTCTCGGTGTACTTCTCGCCGCGGATGATCTCCGGCGCAATCCACGAGGGCGTGCCGCAACGGGTCATCGTGGTGTTGGTCTCCTTGACCCGCGCGAAGCCGAAGTCGGCGATCTTGACCGTCCAAACGCCGTTGGTCTCGTCGACGAGGATGTTGGAGCACTTGAGGTCGCGGTGGATGATGGACGGGGACACGGTGTCGTGCAGGTACTGCAGGCCCTGGGCCGTGTGCAGGAGCATGCGCATCCGATCGTTGAAGCTCAGCTTGACCGACGAGGAGAGGATGTGGCGCAAGTTGCCGTTCTTCATGTACTCGGTGATGATGCACAAGTTGGGCTCGACCACGCAAGCCCCCACGAACGTGATGATGTTGGGGTGGTGCAGGCCTGAGAGAATGCTCATCTCCGACCTGCGTCGTTACAAAAAGAACCAGGCAACGCGTATCAGCAGGGCCGTTGGTTAAGGGTTGATGATCGTTGATGGTTGTTGCTCGCAACGCACCTGAATTCGAGGATATGGCGTTCGTTCATGGTCTGCTTGATGAAGCGCTTGACGGCGATGTCCACGTTCTGCCACTTGCCGCGGTAGACCACGCCGTAGGAACCCGAGCCGAGGGGCTTGTCGTCGTAGACGGTGACCTTGGAGTAGTCGATGATCCAGGGGCACATGTTGGCCGAGTTGAGCCACGTCTCGGCGTCGCCCTCGACCGTGCCGCGACCATGACGCGCGACCTGCACCTGCTGCGAGGAGGATCCGTCGCGCTCGCTGTTCTCGCTGTCATCGGCACCCTCGTTTTCGTAGAATCGGTAGAGCCCGGGCACCTTCATCTCAAACGCCTTGACATCGGCCAGGTCGGAGTCGCGACGCTCGCGGCCGTTGCGATCTTCGCTCGAGCGCACGTCTTCGACGGCAAACGAGCCGGAGGCTCGAGGCGCGGAGATGGGCAGCTCCACCTTGCGGAGGAAGCTGGTCTTGATGGACTTGGCGTCGTCGCGCTTCTTGCCTCCGCTCTGATCGCCGTTGTCCAAGGCCTTGGACTTCTTCTTCTTGACGAGGCCGCTCTCGATGAGCCGGTTGCGGACGTTGGCCGAGATCACGATCTGGCCGGGCTTGGCCACCGAAGCCAGCTTCATGGCAGCTTCGATCGCGGGTCCGCTGTGCTTGAGGCCGGCCTTGCGGATGTCGTTGCCACGCTTGGCGGCGATGCGGCCTACGTGGATGCCGCAGCGCACGCGCGGGCCGCGGAAAATCACGTTCTCCGTGACAGGGTCGATCACCTCCTCGGCCTGCGGCACGGCGAGCAGCTTCTTGGGCCAGGACAGCTCGAGCAGCTCTTTCTGCAGGTCGAAGCACATCATGCACGCCGCCTCGGGGTCGTTGAAGAGCAGGCACATGGAGCCCTCGGAGTTGCCGCGGTCGCCCACCATGGTCTCGTGGCCGTGGTGGCGGACGGCGAGGGCGCGCACGAGTTCGTTGTAGAGCAGCATGGTCTCCACCATGGCCTCCGGGGCTCGCTGCCACAGGACGTGGGCAGAGGTGACATCGAGGAACACGGCTGCGACGTTGTCGTTGCTGAGCATGGCCTCGTTGGTGCCGTAGCGGCCCACCAGGTTGCCGGCCTCGTCGATCTTGACCTTGTACTTGAACGCGGGGATGTGGATGCCCGACTTGGCGTCCAGCTCCATCGAGCCCGAGTTGAGCGAGGCCGACGACGAAAGTGGGTCGCTGTTGGTCGAGGCCAGGGTCGACTGTCCGTCGTGGTTGCGCCGGGCCTGCATGCGCCGGATGTCGGGGTAGGAGGCCATCGACGACGAGGACGACGACGAGCCGCCCGACTTGCTCCCGCCGCCGTAGTCGTTGGTGGACAGCTGGGTCATGATCTCGAGGAAGCTGGGGCGCATGACCGGGTCCTGGTGCCAGCACTGCGTCATCAGGTGCAGGTACTTGAGGTCCTGGTCGTACTCGGGGCTGTTCACATAGCGCCCGTTGAAGGCCTGCGACTGCGACGAAGCCCCGGGGAAGGCCGAGTGGTGCGAGCCGGTGGCCGACGAGAACGACACGTCGTCGAGCAGACCCGTAGGGAGGGCCGACAGGTCGTAGCCCTCGGGTATCGAAGGACGGTAGTTGTTTCGCAGGACCGATACGGCGATGGCCGCGGGTGACATGCCGTCGTACGGCTGCTGCCGCGTGAACGTTTCCCACATCACGATACCATACGAGTAGATCTGTGCGCGCAGATGATCAGCACACAAACGGATCATAACGTGCTGTCGTGTCTTCATCATGTGGCAGTGGCGGCTGCGGTGGTGGCGACGTACATCGGCAAGCACGTAGTCGACTGTGTCGCTCTCGGCGAGGACCTCAGGCGCGGTCCAGTGGATCGTGCCAACGGCGCCAGCGGATCTTGAGTGGGAGCCGTTCCGGAGGAGTTCACCCTTCACCTTGGTGAGGCCGAAGTCGCTCACCTTGAGGTTCCACTTGGAGTCGAGCAGCAGGTTGAGCGACTTGAGGTCGCAATGCACGACGCCCGACGAATGGAGGAAGTGCATGCCCTTGGCCGCCTGGTAGAGCATCTTCGTGCGGAGCAGCGCAGGAATGTCCGGCACGAGTTCGTTGTGCAGCAGCTGTTGAGCGCCAACGCAAAAAAGGAATGCAGGTATTAGGCACACACTTCACAACATAGCTCAATCCATGCGGCGGAAAGAGGGCACACTGGGGACGTACATCAAAGAGCGAGCCCAGGGCCATGTACTCCATGATAATGAACAGGTGCGGAGGCTTCGTGCAGGCCCCCATGAAGAGCACCACGTTGGGATGCCTCAGGCTGGACATGATCGACACCTTAGCACAGGTGGCCCGAGAGGGGTGACACGAATTAGATCTAGTCCAGAGAAAGGGGAAAAACGGCAAGTGCGCAGCTGGATGGCATTGGATACCTCTTCGTGGAAGCTGCGCTCCATCTCCTTGGTCACGCGGCCGTCGATGAGCACCTTGACGGCCACCTGGGTGCCGCGCCACTCGGACTTGTAGACGCTGCCGTAGCCGCCCTGGCCGAGCGGGTCGCCGAGGTCGACCTCGCTGTAGGGGATCTCCCACTCGTCCTTCTTCTTCATGTGCCGCAGCCGCCAGTAGAGGAAGAAGCCCAGGAGGAGGCCCAGCACGATGAGCCCGGCCAGCACGGGCAGGAAGGAGGCCAGCAGCGGGACCACCACGTCGCTACTCGATGAGCTGTCTGAGGAGATGGGGCTCTCGCAGTAGGTGCCCTTCCAGTCGTCGTCGCACACGCACTTGTTGGAGAAGCAGGCGCCGTGGTCGGAGCAGATGGTGCCCTGGGTGATGCAGTAGGCCAGGGCGCTCACGGGCTCGCCGTCGCAGGTGATGTTGGCGATGAAGTTGAGCATGGCCCGCTTGACGGGCGCCGACTGGCCGGCGACGATGAGCTTGTTGGCCTGCGCGATGTTGGCCGCCGTCGGGTCGGTCTGCGTCCAGTAGATCCAGCCCACCAGCTCCTTGGCCTTGGTGCAGTCCACCATGTCGCGCGAGTGCACCGCCAACGCGTTGGTCGAGATCATGGGCCAGCTTCCGTTGCCCGGCGATGAGAGGATGAGCAGGTCGGTGGGCGACGCGGCGTTGGAGATGCCCGCCACGATGCTGCTCCGCGACGGCGTGAGCACCGTGTCGTTGATCTTCATCGAGGCCGGCCGCAGGGTGGCCGACGACAGCGCGGTGAAGGACACGCCCTGGCCGAGAGCGTAAGGCGTGCGCATGGCCGCCGTCGCGTCGTTGAGCGTGGCGCACGGCTTGGTGCGGTTGACCTCGCTCGCCACGGGGTAGACCGGCACGCCGTCGTAGCCGATGTTCTGGGCGAACTCGGGCACGTTCAGGCTCAGCGCCTGGTTGATGGCCTGCGCCGTGACCTGCGCCGTCGTGAAGTAGGTCACGATGATGGGCTGGTTGACCGGCAGCAGGTGCGCGATCTCCTGGTTGAGCGCCAGAATGTCCGGGTGGTCCCACGTCTGGATGCGGTTCATCTGCGGTTCCACACAAAACGAACAAAAACGTTAATTAATATATTAATTAATTAATTTCGCGCAATAAGGTAATTATTAAATTAATTATTAATAAAAAAAGACACCAAAGAAGAAAGAAGAAAGGCAAGTGTACGTAGATATCGGAAACGATTTGGAAGGAGAGGGTGATGCGGTAGTCGGTGTTGATGAGTTCGGGCATGTTGTAGTTGAAGACGAAGGCGTAGGAGACCATGGGCACGGTGATCACGTCGGGCAGCGCGGCCTGCTGGGCGGCCGTGAGCGGCGCGCCCGTCGAGGCAAAGTCCATCGAGTTGTCGCCCATGCTCGCCAGGCCCTCGACCGAGGACGTGGCAAAGTACTTGAGGGTGAAGCCCGACGAGCCGTACTCGGTGGCCCACGAGGTGTAGGTCGGGATGGCCGGGCCCATGCCCAGGAGGAAGGCCGTCGTGAGGGCCTCCTGCCCGTTGCACACCACCTCGGACAGGTGGTCGAGCATGTTCACGCGCTGCCGGCCGCTGAGCACGATGAGGCCCGAGGCCTTGATGAGGGCGATGGCGTTGTCGTTGATCTGGGTCCAGCTCAGGAAGGAGAGCACCTCCTTGATCGTGGCGCAGTCGATCGAGTCCGACGCGCCGCTCGCGGTGTAGTTGTAGGTCACCACCGACGACATGGCCGCCAGCGGCCACGACCCGTTGGCCTGGTTGGTGAGATCGAACACCAGCGAGCCGTCGTACGAGGCCGCCGTCGTCATGGCCTTCGTCACCGCCGTCAGGGCCGCGTCGAGGGTCACCAGCGCGCCGCTCCGGTCCGTCATCTGCGCGTAGGCCAGGCCCGTCCCGTTCTTCTTGTAGTCCGGGTACATCGTGAACACGACCGAGTTCGGGTGGGCCGCCAGCAGGGCCTGCTTGGCCGCCACGCTGCACCCCGAGAACGCGCGCCCGCCCGTCACCGCCGCCAGCCCGCCGAACCCGGCCGCGCCCCGCTGCGCGAACACCGCCGCCATGCCCGGGTCGATGGCCGACAGGTAGTTGGCCAGCACTCCGCCCTCGCCCAGCACGTCGTTGCAGTAGATGATGGTCAGCTCCGACGACGACGCGCCGTTCGAGGTGTTGGGCAGGTTCATGTTGGCGTTGGGCGCCACCACGCCGGCGTCCTCCCAGCTCGTGTAGGTCCCGTTCCACATGCCGGCCACCACCGCCGTGGGCAGGGTGAGCACCGCGCCCGCCACCTTGGGGCTGAACACGGCCGTCGGGTAGGCGGCGACCATGGCCGTGGCCATGACCGGTATCTGCGCGTAGGAGCCGGCGGACCCGGCGTAGAAGCGGCTCACGGTGCTCGAGGTCCCCACGAAGTAGACGCGACCGGCGGGGAGGGCGTTGAGGGTGGTGGTGACGTTGGTGCTGGCCGTGAAGGACACGGAGATGACGTCCTTGGAGTAGAGGTAGGCCGAGCCCAGGCCCGTGTAGACGTCGACCAACGACGCCTCGCCCGATCCGGCCACCGCCAGCGATTGCGCCCCTCGAATCGTCGTACACGAGAGGACGAAGAAGAGGAGCAGACAAACCGCGACGACCAGAGGCACAGCCGTGGCCGGAGAGCCGGAGGGGGCTCGACGTCGTCGGTTGTGCTCCATCTTGTTTTTCCTTCTTTCTCCTCCTTCTCTTCTTTAAAAATTATTTAAGAATTCGCTTCAGCTCACTCAACTAGTTCGGCTTCTTCTCTTGCGTGCTTCCCCTGAGCTCTTGACGTGGTGACGCGACTGTGGGTTGCGGGCAAAACGACTTCGACCTTACCGCAACGTTCCAGACCCACGAGGTGGTTGTCAAGAGTACGACCACACATGAAGAACGAGAGTTACGTGCAACTGCGCAAAGCCCATTGGTTAACAAAATAGCTTAGTCGACAAATACATAAAGTTCACCAATTGCGGATTGGTCGCCGTATCCCCGAGAAAGTGTTCCTCGCTCTTTGGGATCGCGGTACATGGTCTTATCGCGAACCTGATTTCGCTGACAAGTGCGCTCATTGGTCGGCTAAAGTCCGCGCTGATAGAATGTAACTCCCCGGTCGTCGCGATAGCTGGGCCGTTGCACGTCAAAGGGCGCCTAGTGGCCAGGTTTAGGTAAGATCCAACTCGGGAAGCCTTGTTACTGGTCTCGATTGGTCAGCTAATAATATAGCTGCTCTCGGTCGCCTCAACATCCAGACCAGGTCGAGCGCACCGTCCCCTCGCTGCCAGAAATGGGGCGATGAAGGCCTCACAAAACGGCTCTCGCCGCTTCAGTTATTCTCTCAAACCACTTCTGTACCCTAAACTACCTGTACCATACACTACCACCACCACAACTACAACTACTATACTGTAATACCACCCCTGTAAAACCACCACTACCCCACTACTCCTACTTCTATTATTATTATCATTAAGATGAGACAACCCATCGTCTTCCTCTTGGCTTCGTTCCTTGTGCTGCTGGCCGTGTGGCAAGCCGCGGCGGCGCGCAAGGAGAGTTTGCTGCTGACGGCCGAGGAGCCGGGCGGCAACGTGGGCTTCTACTCGGCCGACGGCGACCTGCTGGGCAAGGTCAAGGTGGGCTACCTGCCGCACGAGATCATCGTCACGCGCGACGGCTCGACGGCCTACGTGTCCAACTTCGGCCTGCACGACTATGCGTCGCCGATCGGCTACGCGGGCTACTACGTGTCGGTGATCAACGTCAAGCTCCAGCTCGAGGAGCGCAAGCTCTTCACCTTCCCGGCGGGCGCGGCCTTTGGCAGCGTCCAGCGCGCGCCGCACGGCATCAAGCTGTCGCCCAACGAAAAGGAGCTGTGGGTCAACTGCGAGTTCTTCTCGGCCGACGGCGTGACCGTCACGCCGCAGATGCTCGTGTTCGACCTCACCAGCGACTCGCAGGCGCCCGCCCGCACCTTCACCTTCACCACGGGCACCAACAAGAACCACAACTTCATCTTCTCGCCCAACGGCCAGACCATCTGGCTCCAGAACGGCGCCCAGGGCGTGGCCCCGATGAACCCGGTCACGGGCGCCATCGGCACCCCGTTCCTGCCGGCCGGCCCGGGCAAGGCGGTGAGCGCACGCGGCCTCGTGTTCGCGCCCGACGGCAAGCTGGTCATCTCGGGCGCCGGCGAGTTCCTCATCTACGACGTGAGCACCAACCCGCCGACGCAGGTCAAGCGCTACTTCGCGGCCGACTGGCTGGTGAACCAGTTCCTCTACCCGTCGGTGACCCCCAACGGCAAGTACCTGATCGCCCCGTCCACCAACGGCGAGATCTTCGTCGTCGACTACGCCACCGGCGCCCTAGTCAAGCGCGTGCCCGTGTTCGCGCTCGACCCCGTCATGGTCACCATCTCGAGCGACTCCAAGACCGGCTACGCCACGGCCGCCCGCGGCGGCGCCATCACCAAGATCGACCTCTCCAACACCAAGTTCAAGACCGAGTCCATCGCCACGGGCGTCAACGCCGGCCCCAACGGCCTCGTGATCGTGGACATGCCGCGCGGCGGCATCGAGACCGACCGCGAGGAGTTCCGCGTCGGCGCCGTGCTCTCGCTCTCCGGCGCCGGCCAGCCCAACGGCTACAAGATCAAGTCGGCCCTCGAGATGTGGAAGGAGAGCGTCAACCTGGCCGGCGGCATCCCCCTCTCCAACGGCGACGCCGCCGAGGTGGTGGTCACCTACTACGACGACTTCTCGACCGCCTCGCGCACCAACGGCCTCCTGCTCGACGTGCTCGACGACTGGTCGCCCGACGCCCTCATCGTCGCCGAGACCGGCTTCGCCCCGTCCGCCGCGCTGCTCGACGAGCTCGACGACTCCAAGGTGCCGCTCGTGTCCATCTACCCGCTGGCCACCGCCGCCAAGCGCGACGAAGCCGCCGACGAGGAGCAGCTCGTGCAGCACAGGAGGCAGCTGGCCGCCGGCGCCACCGTGGGCCACGACAGGTGGGTCGACAGCGTCCAGTACTCGAACGACTACGTCAACCGCTTCGCGCGAAATGCCACTGTCATCGACGCCCAGGCCACCATGGCCGCGCTCGCCCTCGAGACGGCCGCCTTCCAGACCGGCAGGATCTCGGGCTCGCGCTACCTCCACGCCGTCCAGGACCTCGACACCACGTTCTTCTTCGGCTCGCTCAAGTTCGACGACGAGACCGGCGCCAACCAGGTTAGCGGCGTGCCTGTCTTCGTCAACAGCCTCATCGATCAGTAAGGCTACTACTACGAGGCCAGATCCGCCCGCGCGCTCCACAACACACGGACAATCAGGCGAAGCCGCGGCCGGAGTGCTCGATGGTCCCCATATTACCATAATAATATTCTATTACATATTATACACAGTCCCCCCTCCACACGTAAGAAGGGCACCTGTTGGGCGAGACGAGCACATTTTGGGTTTGCACGCCGTGGCTAGAGGCCGCGCATGATGCGAAACTCGACGAGGTACTTGACCTTGGAGGCGAGCGATCCCTCGATGTAGACTCGGTCGCCACGTACCAGCATGGCTCTGTCACGGAGAAGCAAAGGAGGAAGTCGGCTGTGGTTAGACTCGCAATGCCTTTGCCTTGGTGGGCGGCGGCGGCAAAAAGGGCAGAGAAGAGAAAGGCACCGTTTGGGGCCGAGCGAGATGATGAGTACTCGGGTGCCAGGGGTGTAGGAGTACATGGCCGCGAAGGGGCACGTTGATTCCATGGCGCGGATGTTCTTGGCCACCACATCAGCGTGCTTCTCCGCGTTCTGAAGTTCGAGATGAACATGCGCGGTCTCTTAGGGCATTGCAGGCGTTCAGAACGAGAACACCTCCTGGCTGTGCCTCCCGAGGCAGAAGAGGAAGAACAACGAACCTGGGCCAGCTTCTCTTCGTTGATGTCCGCAATATCGCCCAAAGCAAATATGTTGGGGTAGTCCACCGTCTGCTCGGGTGGCAAGTTGGTCGCTCAGAGCTAGCGCATCACGGACCTTCAAGGTCAAGGAAGGGAAACGGTTTTGTTTTACCTGCAAGTGCTCGTTCACTTTGATGTGGCCCTTCGGTGTCAAAAGCTCAGCAAAATTGGCCTTCATGAAGTCTGTGTTGGGCACAAAGCCCACACCGCAGTAGGCCACATCGGTCGGGATGCGGTCTCCCTGTCGGATTGTCAAGTTACTTACGCGTTCTTGTATTGGGTCAGGGAACATAGTTGCACTGATTGGACGAGAGATAAAGGTACGTACCTTGTCTGTGACCAGGCAATCCTGGTCGGTGTCGACGACTTTCTGGTCCGCATAGATTCGGACGTTGGGGAACGCCTTGAAGTAGTTCTTGACGCTCGAGTGTGCGCCCTTGCAACATCGCTCCAACATCTTCTTGCCCGAATAGATGATGTTCAATCGCTTCTCTGTGGAGAGTCGCGCAAAGCCGTTGGTTAGACACGCGGATGACGAGGCCACTCACCACAGGGGCCACAGCTTTTACCAGGGAAATAGTGCGCTATCTCGCCTGCTATCTCAATTCCCACCGGGCCGCCTCCGATTACGGTCACGCTGGTCGCCTTTTGCAGAGGCTCGTAGTATCTGAGCGAGCAATCATTACCTCCGGGCTTTTGTCCACAGGCGTAGGGCGGTGGAGGAGAGCGAGGGTAGCGTACGTTTGTAGCGCCGCGGGCACGAGCGGGTCGACCACCAGTATATGCTCGTTACTGGTAACCGGCAAGCGATAGCGGGACCCGGTACAAAGGACCAGGTAGTCGTAGGGCAGGAGGCCGCCCTTCTTCAGCACCACCGCGCTCTCGTGCTTCCTCAAGCCGATCACCTCGTCCACCACCACCTTGCAGTGGAGATACTACGAACAGAGAGGCGACAGCCGTCAACGACCCACAATGCGCGAAGAGTGGGAGCAATGTTGGGGGTGCACGAAGAGTGCATACCGTGGAGTGGCGCGAGGTCACCTTGGAGAGGTGGGCGGTGTCGCACACGCACGAGGGCAGGGAAATGAGGCACACGAAGTGGTCCTTGGAGTCCACCAGGGTGACGTCGAAAGCCGCCTGCAGCTTCTTTGCCACCTTGCTCCCGGCGAAGCCTCCGCCCACGATCACCACCTTCTTCTTCTCCGTGAATCGGTAGAAGTAGTACCCGTCCTATACATACACACACAACACGGCCACCGCGTCCGTCATTACGCCGCAACAGCAAAATACAACAAAGAACCGCGTCGGGTGTCACGTAAGCAGGGGAAAGGCTGCGATGGAGTGGAAGAAGGTACGAGGAAGGGCTTGGTGATGTCCTTGACGTGCTCGAATACGCCCTCGGCGCGAAGGCGCTGGCCGAGCTGCACCGCCTCCTCCCGACTGCGTGCACCCCAGTTCTGCACCAGCCAGTCCACCGCCTCAGAGCCTTGAGGCCAGTCAAGGAAGAAACAAGAAAAGAAGAAGAAGGCATGAGGCGGCCTTGTCGAGCTATACGACGTGCAAAGGGAAAGGGGGGTGCAAACCAACGAAGCAGGCAGGGTAGGTCTTGAGATGGTAGGAACGGTCGCGTACTTCGAACCCGAGCGCTGGGTCGCGCACCGCCCGCATAAGCCCCGAAAGGTTGTCCTCCTCTTCCTCCTGTGTTGCCTCCTTATCGGCATGGCCTTCTTCTACTGCCACTTCGCGCTCCATGGTTTATGTGTTATAACGGCGAAGGAACAGCTAACTTGTTGCCGGCCAAGCCCAGCCGTTTCATCACGCTTGACGCGTCTCTGACAATCTGAGAAAATGATCAGGAAATCCGAAAAAATAAGGAAACTCTGCTCAAGTCGGCGAAAACGAACTTACGGAGACCGGAAGGGCAGTTCGTAGAAGGCAGCGGTCATGCTGGGCTGGGTGGACGTGGCGGTGGTGGTGCTCTACCTGGTGCTGGTGCTGGCCATCGGCCTCGGTGCGCGCTTCTTCCCCGGCAGCAGCAGCAGCAGCAGTAAAGGGGGTGGCAAGGACGTAGCGGAGTATTTCCTGGCCGGACGGAACGTGGCATGGTGGGCGGTCGGCATGTCCCTCTTCTCCTCCAACATCGGCAGCGAGCACTTCGTTGGTTCGCCCCCCCCTCCTCAATTCCCCTTTTTGTTTATTCCTTCTTTGCTTTCTACGCGCGTTCAAGTCGTCCTCACCTGCCGCGGTTACCAGGCTTGGCCGGTTCGGGAGCCGCGAGCGGCCTGGCCGTGGCCCACTTCGAGTACGTCTATGACTCTCCCCATCATGGTCCGGTCGGATCGCTCACACCAGTAAACCTGCGCAGGATCAACTCCGCGGTGTTCGTGTTGCTGCTGGGATGGCTGTTCGTACCGTACTATCTGAGCAGCAAAGTGTTCACCATGCCCGGTATCGCTCTTCTTCCTACACATGTGCGCAGCTTACCTCTGCTCGATCTCGCTTATCTCCTTCCGATCATGTTCTAGAGTATCTTGAGAAGCGGTTCAACAAGTACTGCCGGAGCTGGCTGGCCGCGGTGTGCATGGTGGAGTACGTCATCGCCAAGATATCGGTGTCCCTCTACGCCGGAGCTATAATCTTCAAGGTCGTGCTGGGCGTCTCCAGCCAGTGGGTGAGCGCGGTCTGCATCCTTGTGGCCACCGCTCTCTACACGTACCCCTCTCGTTCTTTCACCATCGCCCCTCTCTTGTTGTGAGGCTCACACTTCACTTTTCCTCATTGCCAGCGTTATCGGTGGCCTGCGCGCCGTCATGTACACCGGTACGACCGCCGCGCCACCTCGTGCCAAGTTCTTGTGGTTCAGCTCCGCTTGTTCATGTATATGACTTGATCTCACTGTTGTCCTCAAAGAGGTACTGCAGACGGTGATCTTGGTCGCCGGAGCCGCGATCTTGCTGGTGATAGGCATGGTCAACGTGGGCGGACTTCCCGGCTTGCGGCAAGAGTGCGTCCACATTGCAATCTCTTCTTTCATCGTGCGCGTTCTTTAACTCACGTAATGGGTGTGTGCCCTATGGTAGGCTGCCCGATTACTACTTTCACATGTTTCGCGGCGCAGACGACCCCAACTTCCCGTGGACGGGCATTCTGCTGGGCTATCCCATCAATGCCATGTGGTACTGGTGTACCGACCAGGTACGATCGTACCCTGTTCCTCACACCTCCATCGCGTTCAAATGTTTGAACTGTATAATTGATAGCGCGCCACAGGTGATTGTGCAACGAGTGCTCGCCGCAGACAACATTGAAAGCGCGCGCAGTGGTACGTCAGATCGACAGGTTGCGCTCGATGGCGGTCTAACAATCATCACGTTCCACACAACCATCAGGAACTATCCTCGCCGGATATCTTAAGCTGTTGCCACTGTTCATGCTGGTGATGCCCGGCATGATCGCACGCGTCCTCTTCCCTCAGGAGATGGCCGAAGTACTTTGACCACTACGAGCTACCACTTGTGATGATGAGCTGGCGCTAATGTTTCTTCACCTCCAGGACAGCAACACGGCCTACCCGCTGCTCGTGGTCAAGCTGATGCCTGTCGGTCTTGCCGGCCTCGTGGTGGCGGCCATGCTAGCGGCGCTGATGTCCTCATTCGCCTCCCTGTTCAACAGCTGCTCCACCATCTTCATGAACGACGTCTACAGAAAATATAGACCACAGTCTTCTGACAAGGTACCCAAGCAGGGCCGCTGTGCTCCATTCCCCGTACAACCATTAACGACGCACCACCTGCACCCCCCCGCATATTGACAGGAGCTGGTGGTTGCGGGCCGCGTGGCCACGCTGGCCATCATGTGCTGCGGACTGCTGTGGATTCCGGTGGTGCCGCATCTGAGCAAGCAGCTCTACGTCTACCTGCAGTCCGTGCAGGGATGCCTCTCCCCGCCGATCGTCGTTGTCTTCGTCTTTGGCATCTTCTCCACCTTCACCAACGGGCAAGGGGCCTTCGCCTGTCTGGTACCACCACCGCAGCGCGAAGCCTCTTGGCGCTTTGCTCTTGTTCAGCCATTCACATGTCTCACTCTCGACAGGTGTTTGGGCACGTGCTGGGCGTGCTGCGTCTGGGCTTGCGGTTGTGGTTCGGCACGGTCGATCCCGGAGACTCGAACTGGATCATGCGACTCGTGGTCTACTCGCACTTCCTGCACTTCATCTTTTTCACCTTCGCCTGCTGTGTGGCCGTCATATTCGGGGTACGTAACCGCACCAACATCGTGATCTTCTCTCCGGTCGGGATCAACCGCAAGTGTGCACAGAGGTGATTCACTCACGCGCCTGTGCAGGTGAGCTGGTTCACGCGCAAGGCGGGTGACGCGCTGACGAAGGAACAGACGAAGCTGGTGTGGAACAAAGATAAGGAAGAGGACATCGTTATCGAGGAGGAGAACGAGCAGTGGGAGGAGAAGCTGGCGGAGGAGGAACGACGCCCTCTCGTGGCCACCACAGACGCCGCACAGGCCAAGATCGGAGGCGGTCAGTGGCAGCGATGGTTCCGCGAGCACCGACGAGAGGTCAAGGTTGGCTTGTCCGTGCTGCTTGTCGTGTGCGTCTACTCGGTCGAGTTTATCTTCCGATAGGTGGTCCGCGCGCCCTATGGTCCGAAAAGACGAAAGCGAAGACGAAGATCGTCGCGCCGACTTGTGCCCATTGGTCCAATGCTTAACTCCGTTCATTTTTCTTTGGCTTGCTGGGCACGCTCTCAGGCCTTTCCTCCACCCCCACCACAGCAGCGCCATGAAGTCCTCCCACCTTGCCGCCGCCGTGCTGGCGGTGGTCTTCGCGCTGCACTGCGCCCTCGCCACCAGGCCCGCCTTCACCACCGTCGAGGCCCCGGCTGCCACGCTCTGCGCCTTCCGCGGTGCCTGCCCTCGCGGCGACTGGGCTCTGCTGAGCCGCTCCGCCGCCGACGAGCTTCACTCCGTCACCATCGCCGTCAAGCTGCGCGCCAACGCTGAGGCCGTGTGCGATGCGCTCCTCATGGAGGTCTCGACGCCCGGCTCGCGCAAGGCCGGCCTGCACTACACCCACGAGCAGGTGGGCCAGCTCCTGAGCGACTTCGAGCACACCCGCACCGTCGAGCAGTGGCTGCGCGCCCACTCGATCGAGCACCAGACCACGGCCAACGGCGACTTCATCCACGTCACCGCCTCCGTGGCCAAGCTCGAGCAGCTCCTCCACGCCCAGTTCCATGAATTCTCCTCCAAGGCCCTCGATTTCACCGTCCGCCGCACCAGCTCCATCTCGCTCCCCGCGAATGTACTTTGCCCCCCCCCCCGGCCGGCTAAAATCGCTCGGATCTGGTGCGATGTGATACTGATTTTGTGATTAATGTACAATGGTAGGTGGCTGCGTCGATCGACTTCATCACCAACACGATCCGCTTCCCCAACATCAAGGCCCACTATGCCATGATGACTCCCAGCGGCGCCCAGCACAGCGCGCGCCAGAGCAGCAGCGGCAACGTAACTCCCCAGACCATCTACCAGTTCTACGGAGGTACGACATGCCGCCTTCACCCCCCCCCCCTTCTTTTCTTCAACCAGAGCTCACCTCCCATCTTCATCTTCACGCGGGTGCAGTGACCAATACCACCGTGACCCGCCCCGTGGGCCAGTCGGTCTTCGAGACGGGCCAGAACTTCTCGCCCTCCGACTTGGCCAGCTTCCAGAAGCAGTACGGCCTGGTGCAGAACCCGGTGAAGACGGTGATCGGCAGCAACGACGGCTGGGTGTGCTACTGGTCGCCCGACAGCTGCGCCGAGGCGAGCCTCGACGTGCAGTACATGATGGCCATGGCCCAGAACGCCCCCACCACCTTCTGGTCGATGGACTCGACGTCGCAGGACCCCTTCTACGACTGGATCATCGCCCTGGCCGGCACGGCCAACCCGCCGCTCGTGCACTCGATCTCCTACGGCTCGATCGCCACCGAGGACTCCAAGACCGACATGACCCGCTTCAACACCGAGACCTGCAAGCTGGGCCTCAAGGGCGTCACCATCACCGTCTCGTCCGGTGATGACGGCGTGGCTAACTACGAGGCCCGCAGCGACTCGTCGCAGTGCGGCTTCAACCCGTCCTTCCCCGCCACGTGCCCCTACGTGACCGCCGTCGGCGCCACCATGGGTCCCGAGTTCGGCCAGCCCGAGGTGGCCTGCACGTCCAACAACGGCGGCCTCATCACCACCGGCGGCGGCTTCTCCGTCTTCTTCCCGCGTCCCTCGTACCAGGACGCCGCCATCAAGCAGTACCTCACCACCGCGCCCAACCTGCCCCCGTCGTCCATGTACAACACGGCCGGCCGCGGCTACCCCGACGTGGCCCTGCTCGGCCACAACTACCAGGTCGTCATCGGCGGCGGCACCTACACCGTGTCCGGCACGTCGGCCTCGTCGCCTGTGTTCGCCGGCTTCGTCACCCTGATCAACAACTACCGCGCCTCGATCGGCAAGGGCCCCGTGGGCTTCATCAACCCGGCCCTCTACCAGTTCGCTGCCCAGAAGAAGCCCGTCTTCAACGACATCACCGTCGGCGAGAACAACTGCTGCGCCGGCAGCCCCGGCTCGCAGGTCTGCTGCCAGTACGGCTTCAACGCCACCGCCGGCTGGGACCCCCTCACCGGCCTCGGCTCCGTCCGCTTCCCCCAGCTCCTCCAGGCCCTCGCCCAGATCTAATGAGCGTAGGACAAGACAACACAATAAAAGCAGTGTTCAGCTGTCCTCGAGCTCTCCGCCACCAACACTCCCCATCGAACACTACAAACAAGTCCCTCACTTGAGTGAGCGCAACGCGTGCTTTATTGGGCGTACACGAGAACTTACGGCAAAGACAAGCTCAGAGGTTGGGCTGGACGTCCCGCACGAGGCCTTCGCCCATGGCGGCAAAGTCGTGCAGCAGCTCGAAGATGTTGGTCACCACCTGCGGCACCTTGCTCTTCGTGTTGGACGCATCCGACGCCTGAATGTTTAGCTTCTGCACCACGCCACGACCGTCAGCACCAGAACTATTCCTCGCTAAGCTACGTCAGCCAGGGGAAAGTTGTCGTACCTTGACCAATGGCGAGTCCGCAGGGAGGAGAGACACGGGCACGGCGAACTCAGTGTGGAGGACCTTGAAGGGCTTGGGCGCGAAGGTGCCGGGCTTCCAGACGACGCCGATCACTCGGCCCTCAAGGGCGTTGTGGAAGAAGAGGGCCAGGTGTCCGAACCGTGCCCTGAGCTCGCTGAGGTAGTTCTCCACCAGATCGAGGCCCACGTAGACCGGCTGCTTGGTCGGCAGCTGCAGGTTCTTGTACTTGCTCGAGGCGCCCCCCTTGGCGCCGACCGCCGACTCGAGGTGGATGAGCACGTCGTACGGCGTCAGCGGCGTCACGAACAGCGCCCGCCACTTGGCCTCGGCGGTGAACGGGTTCTCGACCAGCTCGCGCAGAATGCGGTAGGACTGCTGTGCGTAGGCCACCACTCGCTTGAAGATCAGCGGCGTGGGCGAATGCCTGGCAGACGAGGGAGGACGACCCATCAAAAGAGAAGTGTCAGCATTTCTCACCGCACGCACGCACGCACGCCATATAGAGAGGACTTGTACCGCGTGAGCCTGCCGTATTTGTCGGACGGGGTGGAGATGTAGAGCGCCGTCTCCTTGATCTTGGTGCCGCGCTCCTTGGCCGCTCGCTGATGTGGGCAAGTGGCGAGTCAACACCGATGCGGTGCGGCGCAGGAGAGAGATATAAATAAATAAAATACGAACCTGAAGGCTGCGGAGCCGTTCGTAGGTGGCCTGGATGTGCTGGTGGTCGTCGTAGTCGAATTCGCCGTCGATGTCCACGACAAGGGCCGTCTCCTCCCAGTTGAAGGTGCTCAGCAGGTGCAGGAACCGCAGGAACCCGGCGACGTGGTTGTGCGGCTCCTCGAACGGCCGCGGGTTGGTGTAGGCGTGGGCCACCAACAACTCAATGATCTCCTGCTCGTGTCGTGATGTCGAATCAGCCACCCGCATGAACGGAGGAGGAGAAGGCAGGTGTGTGCAACGTACATCGGCCAGGTAACCGGAGAACATGTGAGAGTGGACCCACAGCTTGGCCAGCCGGGTGGCCATGGGGTAGGAGGTGTGGCGATGGGAGAAGCCGTGCATGCGACCGGCGTGCTGCGCCGCCTGGAGGACACGCTCCGGCAGGGCGGCCTTGTCGTCCACTGCCTCTTCTACAGTCGCGCGATAGAGAGAGAGAGAGAGGAGAGCATCAAACGATAAGTCGCAGGCGCGACCAACACGATGGGGAGAGGAGAGGAAGGCGTCTTACCGGCCTTGGCCATGAGAGCGATCTCCTTCTGCTGGTGGATGAAGAAGCGGAACACGAAGCCCTCCCTCTTCAGCTGCACGTCGACCCACTGGGGCGTGGGGGTGCACACGTGGCCGTGCTTCTTGCGCAGCCCCTCGGCCACCTTGATGTAGAACGCCGCCTTGAGCTTGCGAATGGCGGCCAGGTCATCGGGCCACGCGGCGCTGGGCTCCAGCTGCACAGGAAGAGTTCGATCGATGAATGCGCGGTCAGCCACGCCGCACAGCATCAGAGAGCGGGGCTGGATTGGGGGGGGGAGCGAGCATACCTGAATGGCGACGACGATGGGATCGACGCAGGTCAGTCCCAGGTGGTTGGGCCTGGTCTTGTTGATGGGCTGCTGCGGGTA